TTGTGTTGGGGTCGTCGTTGTGTGCGTCGTGGTGGCCGTTGGTGACGTGGCGGTGTCGCGAGGTGGGTTGGCGTCGTGGATGATGGTGGTGGTTGAGAGAGTGGGAGTTGTTTGCAGGAATTCCGTTCCGTCTCATTCTGGGATCATTCCTTCCGGGTGATTCCTGGAACCATTCTGGCGGAATTTGAATTCCATCAAAATTCCGCCGGAATGGTTTGATCAATTTGGCAGGGCCCTCTGCCAAATTTGATTCCTCCGGAATTCCAGGAATTGCCCGGATTCCGCCGGATTCCGGCAGGAATCAGTGGAGGACAATAAAGACCTCTCTGTCTGTAGCGTTCTGTCGAAATCGTTTCCTGATTGTGGTATGGTCGAAACTACTGGGCTTTTAGCACTCTTCTGTGTCATAGAAGAGCTAGCTGGTTGGGGGTTGGACGCCGATCTCGAAGCTCTAGAGGATGGCTGTCCTGAGGTGTTCTTGTGCCCAGAACCAGTCATGATGGTAGTAGAAGGAGTAAGCGGAGTGAAGTTGGGGGTATTGATGAGTGGGCCCCGTTTCAACCGCATGCCTTTTAATACGAGCGGGCATAGTGTTTAGTTCGGCAGCAGACTGAATCTAGTACTATTGACCCAATCGATGGTCGTGGTCTTCAATCGATAATTAGATGACTAGGGGATAAGGATTAGAGGGTCCGGGACTCCGGAACAACAAGTGCTGTTCCCATCGATATATCCATGACACTGTCTCGGCGGACGGTAGGTCGCGATATCGCGTATCCTCTCGCCCTTCGATAAAGACGCCACTTCTATACAGATCGACTCGTTCAAAGGTCTACTCGCTGTGCTAACACTAGCTCGATTCCCTTGACTCGAGCGGCACCTTGCCATTCATTCTACAGCTAACAATCCAGCCAACAGCGCGAACGCACGTTGACACCGAATCAATCGCTATTTCCTGAGTGGCTTGGTTGTCCCTGATGAATTCAATGAATCCAGTCGCGTTGCCGCGTATCCGGACTCATCTACTGCAAGAGGCTCTGGTCATCGTGAGGGTCATGGTCGTGTATTCGTGTAATCCGTGCCTCCTCGATGCCTTCAGGGAGGTCTTTACCCTCCCCCACGTAATCCATATGGACTCCAGTGGACTCCAGTGGATTCCAGTGGATTCCAGTGGCCCTCTTACCAGGCCAGATTGGCTGGCAGAATGCCCAGTCCACTGGAGTCCAGTCCAGTCCAGTCCACTGGACTCCCACTGGACTGCCAGCCACTTTCCTGAGTCCAGTCCCAGTCCAGTGGACTATGAGTCCAGTCAGAGTCCAGTGGAGTCCAGTGGATTCCAGTGGATTCCAGTCATTCCAGCATATTATTATTATTATATATGAATACTACTAAAAAAGCGAAAATAGACTAATTGATCAATGAATGGAAATGTTATAATTTACATATAGTGTGGGTCAGTGATAGCTGCAATAAGGATTCATGATTTTGTTCAGTCTGCGGGGTGAGGTCACGTGACTTACTTGAGGGCGTGCCATATTGTCACGTCGCCTGTTTGTGGGATGGTCACACTGCTGTGACCATCCCTTTCCCTTCCACCACCACCATTCACATCTCAACGCCGCCGACGACGCCCACGCCCACGCCCATGCTAACGACGTACACGACGCCCACGCTAACGACAATGACACCCCCAGCACGGAACGATGGACCAAGGACAAGGGACAACGCCCATGACGTGGCAACGTCATGGGCAAGGGGTACGTATGCCCCACCACCCCATTCCTCCGTTCTCACCACGACAGGCACGACGCCAGCAGCCACCCATGCACGGCACATGAGGACGACGACACCAACACATGAGGATGGCGACAACGACGACACGTGAGCACAACGACGACACGCGAGCACGACGAAATGCGACGACGACGGAACGCGACGACGACGACAAAACGCGAGCACGACGACGCGCAAGCACGATGACGACAACACGCGAAGCCGACCACATGACATACATGAACAAGCGCCCACGAAAAACGGCCACCGCCCACCACCGCCTGCTGCCACGTCACACAAAAACCAGCCACCGCCCATGAAAAACGACCCCCGCCCACAAAAACGACGACAACACACGAGGACGATGACACACGACAACAACAACAACAACAACAACTACACGCCGGGACGACGACACACGACAACGACATGCGACGACGACAACGAACGAGCGCCAACAAAAACACCACCCCCACCACACCTGCAAAACGATACGCCCACGAAAAACGATGAGCGCCCGCGCTGAACGGCGACGAGGGCCTGGCAGCATCACCCTTCCCCTCCACTCTCTCCCCCCCATCACTACCTCCTCTCTTTACCACTCCCACTCCCCTCCACTCCCTCCCCCCTTCACACTCTCCCCCCTTCAGTCTCTCCCCCTTTCCTTGCTCCTCTCTCCCCCCCTCCCTTTCCTTCCCCCTTCCTTGCTCCCTCCCCCCTCTATTCATTCCTCTCTTCCCCCTCCCTTTCCCTTTCCCCTCCCTTTCCCTTTCCCTTCCCCCTCCCTCCCCCCTCTGTAACATAGAATCTATGTAAATTTAATTAATGAATATACTTCAATTTTATTTTTTGTTTTGAAGTCTAAGTTCAGGAATTCTGGATTAACTTAGGTCTGTGGCAGTCCAGTCCAGTCCAGTTTTGTGATTTGCAGTCCAGTCCAGTCCAGTTTTGTGCTTGCAGTCCAGTGGAGTCCAGTGGAGTCCAGATTTGTGCTGGGAGTCCAGTGGAGTCCAGATTTGTGGATATTGCCAGTATGTAGTGAAGTCCAGTGGAATCCAGTGGAATCCAGTGGAGTCCATGTGGATTATGTGGGGGATGGTAAAGTACTGCCTTCAGGGCAGAATCCTCCTTCCTAGAGCTTTCGACTCGCCGCATTGCCACAAGCAGCAATCGAAAACTTGATGGAAGGGGTTCCTGAGAGATATCCTAGTCAATGGACTGTCCGCCACGTTGCCGCAAGCAGCGACTGCCCCCTTTCCGTGGATTCTCCCCGTGTACCCATTCCTCTTCCCTTAATCCCTGTACCTGTTGCAATCATCCTCGACTGTCGACTTAGACCTTCTCTCCCTTCGTTTGGCGGACCTCACTACACTTTGGTGAAATCCGTGGTGCCCCCACCACTGTGAAACCGTGTTCGGAGACTTCTCATGAGTGAAGTCGAGGAGAGAGGACGAGGATGGCTGACAGTGTGTCAGCGCTTACTCCATGTGAATGAGCAGATGACAGGATGCTCAGCCGGCTTGACATGTTGATGAAGGTGGCAAGCTCAAGGGCTCGCGTGATGCAAGGGTCAGTCGATAGACATAATAGTATAATGGCAAGATGATAGAGAACCCTAGTATAGGGTTCCCGCGTTATGTACAGACGAAGTAAACAACTATATACATGCGTAAGGCTGCGTTGCGTGATGTCCAAGGTATTCCTCACAAGTCGCCATGGAAGGGTTATGAAATTGACAATGAAATCAGCAGGAAGACTTATGAAATATATCTCAAAACGTCCCCATAGTTTATGAAAAGTTCTGACAATTATATGAATGAAATAGATAAGACATCCTAATGAGATGCCTCTCATAAACTTTGTGACAGTTCGTTTGAGATGACCATTGGCATTGCCATTGATTAATCATAAAAAGTGGTAGCCACCAGTCTACTGAAGACTTTCTTGCAGTGTTGTTCTTGACCATGATGGATTGTCAGTCAACAGTTGGAGGTAAGTACGCGAAGGCTGTGTTAGACTTGTGTAAGACAAATATCTTCCTTGTTTCACCCCAAGGACATGGAGCCAAAAAAGGAGGAGTTCCCTGCTTGTGGGGGTAACCATCCAGTAGTTGGGCACCAAGGTCGTTGTGTATCAGAGTCCATAAGATAAAATAACATACATATGATTGAGAAGTCCATAATGTCTATTGTATTCTATCTACCCTCTGTCAATCGATGTAGATGGCATTTTCCATTGAGCTGCCAGGTGCAGCACTCTGTCCAGAAACTGGAAGAAGCTTTGCAAGTACCTGGGTTTACAAGGATCAGGTTTAGAAGTAGGGGATGCAGAAGTTACACACCGGTTTGTAGGTTGATGTTGATGTGGGAACAGACCTGGCTTTGGCCTTTTGCACCTTCTGGAAACGTGCAACAAGGGCCAGCAGCACTCACTCGAGAACAGAGGAGGGAATCCATACCACCATCTTCCCTGATAAAACTTCCTTCGTTGGAATAGACTTCTTCTTGGTGAATGTTCAAAGGCCGCAAAGGCCAGACCGAGTTGCCGAGGACAGACAACCTGTTTGGACTTCCACCCTGTAACCAGGAATCATCTTTCTTCCACCCTTCTGTCGTTGGACAATGCGGAGGATCAAAGAGAGACTGAATGTCCCTTCTGCAATAGTTCCAGCGACGTGTGCCACAAGAGCTGTGGTAGGGTTGATGTTGGCTTCCTAATCCCAATCACTAAATAACAGAGTGCAAACATATATATCTTGACGAACCTTAACTAACCCATGAAGAGCCATCCCTGGCCAGACATGTTCCTGAAAACAAGAGAGAACCCCTTCCGAAGTACCCCAGGTGAATGAGTGTTCACAGAACAAGGCAAGCCTACTGAGATTGACTTCGTGAGGGATCCAACCTTTCATATCAGGTTGTTTCTGGCCTGGGGACCAAGACGTGAGAGGTTTGACATAAAGCAGAAGAACCTCTGGATTCAGGAATGAATCAGACACATGGTTTGTGAGTGCGACCTGGTGTCGAGAAAGGTGGCCAGCATTGTTGTACTGAAAGATCGTGCACAGGTGTTTGCGCCACTTCTCAAGAAACTCATCAAGCTCAGGCTTCATGCAGGTTCTCGCAGCATCCAGCAAGTCATCACCAAAACCAGCACATGCAAGGCTGTATGCTGTCATCATACCACAGCCCCACAGCCCAACCTGGGTAACATCAGAATGAGAGCAGAATGAGAGAGACTCAGTCACTTACGGGATCATAGTCACCGCCACAAAGTAATGCTACCAATAAAATCCCGCCAGCCGTGAGGGAAAGCATCAACTGGATTGATTTAGCCATGTAGATTTTAATCATGTCGCCATCTCCCTTGACGTGGGGCTAGATTGAGATGAGTATGTATGTGAATAAGTTATGAGGGCAAACACGTACTTTTGGATGAGATGTGTTGCTCTGAAAAGGAGCGTATCTGCATCGTCGCTAAGGACTCCATCAATAATTTGCTGAGAGTTGAGCATCGCTAGCTCTGCCTCTGCCTCTCCCAGTGCCTAGGTACCTTAGTCAGTAGAGAAAAGACAGCTAAAATATGGACTGAACAGTATGGGAGCTGTAGCCATATTGCTCAATCAGCTCCTGGAATGAATTTGTGAGTGCGTGTGCCTTGGTGCGAACATTGATTCCTTGTTTCATAGCTGGGCAGCTTTCTCCGTCAAAAACAAAGACAAGATGAATTGGGAGCTTACGGAAGCGTGCGATATGATAAAAAAGATTGTGGAGCACACGGTTTTCGCCAACCTGGTAATGCATGCCTGGGACATGGAATACCGCCTGCATTTGGTTTAGCCAGATGCTGACAACAATCGGATTAGCCCCAAATATGAATAGATGATGGGAGTGAACCTCATACCTCACATCAACACCAATAGTGAGAGTTTGTACGCCATGCCAATTTGTGTCAAACCCTTCTGAAAATGCAAGTTCGGTCAGAGAACGGGTTTGCATTGCTTTACACAAAATCTGAATGCAGCGATATGAGGTACATCTAGCAAAAGAAATTGAGCCAATGTACCTCCCAAATTCCAGGAATACCCATCGTTTCTGGATGGCTGCAAGGTGGCAAGAAAGAAAGCACTGAAACCTCCAATGTGGCTCCTTTCACGTGGGAATGCTGAAGCAAAGCCGGCCAAATTCCCATGGTGAACAGGTGGCGGTCCAACAACACTGGAAGGCGCAATGACACTGACAGTCCCTAACTTGTGCCACTTTTCATTGATAGTGGGCACACTGATAGGTTATCAAAATGAAACTGGTAAGGAAAAGAAATTGTGGTGTCATGCGCAGGATTCGGAACATTTGCACCAATGTTGAGGAAGAGAGGTGATAAGTAGAGGGTTTATGCCTAGTGTTCGCAGGTCCGGTTCAGTCCGGTTTTTTGCCCCAAAAACAGGCAACCACAGACCACAACCAGTCTAGGACCGACCCAGATATTGAGGGAACCGAACCGGACCACCTAGGACCGGTCTTTTGCGGTCCATGGACCACATTCAAACTGATTCAGACTGGTCTTTTTGCATAAAATTTGTCATACCAATATAAACCATTTATATCTCAATTATTATTACTCTAAAAAATAAACTGGTTATATATCATAGTATAACATATAAATACCCATCATTCCACCAATTCTTAAGAAATTTAATGAAGGTTTGACATAGCTATGACTGAAACCGAATTACATCTCCTAAAGACTCGGGCAAAATGTAATGCGGCAACTGTAAATTATTTGATGCATACCATATATTGATAGATGGTGAGTATATTTTCATACTTAAAATGTCAATATCCAAAAATTGAATCAAGCAAAATGATGAAAGTTTGAGTGAGTTAGAATTAAAGTCATTCTGGTACAAGTTGCACAAACAAGTATTTGTGCCAAAATGGATTTAGTTATATCTTTCTCAGTTCTTAACCGTTTTTGATGAACTAAAAACCCAATTAAAGGTAATAGATGTGGTTACAAGGCTACGTAACGCACGTGACCGTTTAACTGGTTGCAACTGATTTAAGCTGGTCTTTGAACGGTTTTAAAAGATTTTTGAAATGAGGCAACCGGCAACTGGACCAACCCCAAATTTGCAGTACTTTACAGTGCCCCACCCATTCCTGCAGGAATCCACAGGAATCCACAGGAATCCGGAGGAATGGCACCGGAATCCACAGGAATGGCACCGGAATCCGCAGGAATCCACAGGAATGGCACTGGAATCTGCAGAAATCTACAGGAATGGGACCAGAATACAATAATACAACACCTTTCCTTTTTGCTATATACATTTACACTAATATGCACTTCTTCACACTGACTTAAAGGGTATAAACACTTTCTTATAACATTTATATATTAAAATTTATATATTTAAACTCAAATCTACATCTAATTTACTATTTTCTAAGTTAAATTAAGGGGCAGGAAGGGAGGGAGGAAGGGAAGAAGGGAAAGAGGAAGGAAGGGAGGGAGGAAGGAAGGGGGAAGGAGGAAGGGAGGAAGGAAGGAAGGGGGGAGGAAGGAAGGAAGGGGGGAGGAAGGAAGGAAGGGGGGAGGAAGGAAGGAAGGGGGGAGGAAGGAAGGAAGGGGGGAGGAAGGAAGGAAGGGGGGAGGAAGGAAGGAAGGGGGGAGGAAGGAAGGGACAGAGAGTGGTGTGGGGGTGTGATCAGCAGAGGAAAGGAAGGAAGGGAGGAGGGACAGGCAATGTGTGGGGCAGGCTCTGGGGAGGGGATGGAGGGGGAGAGAGTGGTGGGGACTAATGAAGGGGAAGGGGGTACTGCTGGGCCTCGTCGTCCATCGTCGTCGTCATCCTGGGTCGTCGCGTGGTTATCGTCGTGCTGTCGTCATCGCGTTGTCGTCGTCGTGGGGTTGTCGACGTGTTTTCGTCGTCGCGTGGTTGTCGACGCGTCGTCGTCGTCGCGTTGTCGTCAACGCGTTGTCGTCGTCGCGTCGTCATCGGCTTGTGATGTGGCATCGTCGTCGTGGGCGCTCGTGGATGGTGGTGGGTTCGTCGCGTTGTCGTCGTTCTGTGACGTGGCGTTGCGGCGTTTGCGTGGTTGTCGTGGTGGGCGCTCGTGGATGGTGGTGGGTGCTCGTGGATGGTGGTGTCGTCGTCGTCGTCCGTTTTCGTGGATGGTGGTGTTGTCGTTGTCCGTTTGGCTGCCACGTCACCGACGGTGGTCGTTGCCGTTCGTTGCTGGGTGGTCGTTGCCGTTGGAGTCGTCGTCGTCGTCGTCGTCGTGGGTCGGCGTGCCGTTGTCGGTTTATCGTGGCTGTCGTGGGGGTGGGAAAGAGGATGGTTGGTGGTGGGGGAAGGGAATGGTATTGAGTTTGTTTGGTAGCGTTGCCTTTGTTTGGTAACGTTGCCTTTGTTTGGTAACAGAGGTAAAACAAACAAACAAAGGACCGGATTCCGTTGCATTCCGTTCCTGTGCATTCCGCGGATCATTCCGCGGATCATTCCGGTGTCAATTCCGGAATGCCCAAATTCCGCCGGAATGGTAAGGCACCGGAATGATGAAAATAGCAGGCCTCCCTGCTAAATTTCATTCCTCCGGAATCCACCGGAATCCGCAGGAATGACCGGATTCCTGCAGGAATTAGGGGGGCACTGATAAGACCTCCAAATTTGGGCAACTGCAACCGAAAAAAAGACCGGACCATGGTCCAGTTCAGTTCGGTCCACCAGTATTTTTTGGTCCTATGGACTGGACCTGTAAACACTATTTACGCCCTCAGATTAAGGTAAAATGGGGGAGAGGCATGAGGTGGATTGGTATGATGCAGAATCTGTGCCCTTGAGTGAGTCTGCACCCGACAACATGGGAGAGAGGCACTGTACAGATAAAATGGGCAGGGGACATGGGTGTGAAGATGCGCAGCATGTGTGATGTTGTGAAAAGTATTGGCTGGTGGCAAGGCCAGGCTTAACAAAGGTTGCATGGGGAAAGGTGAGAATGCTGCCTGTAATTTGAGTGCTGTGTGGTGCATGACCAGGGGGGAGTCGAGGATACCACCATAACTGGTGGCTGAGGGAAATGTGGAGATGGGGGCACTTGTGTTGAGGACTACTATGTCTTGTTGTGCAGTATGGTTGAGCAGAAGCAGCTGGGTTTTCAACTGTGCCTATTGTTTGCCATGCTTTCAGGAAAGTGGAGAGGGGGGAGCTGAAAGGCGAGTACAAGGCAGCAGCAGCTCGCTCGGATATACCAAAGCGACATAGACGAGGCAAGCAGCGTGCAGCATGCACATGCTGGGCAGAAAAAGATAAAAACAAGGGGTGGCAAAGTTCGAATGCTCAATGTTGAATCACGTGCTTTTGTGCCTCATGTGTCAACTACGCGTCGTAAACTTCACATCGCGTGATGCGCTGTAAACTTCGCGTCATGCTCGACTACAGAATTTATGATAGAATAAACAACATGTGTGGACAAGAACAAAAAGATCTATAAAACTAATTAAATTCACCATGGTGCTATCAGGCATTAGGAACAACAGAGTTTTCTAGTCCTATGGTGTAAAGTCCAGATATGATGCATAAGTGCACCTAAGGACTTATTTCTGAGAGATTTACTGGATTTACTGAGTAATGGCTTGGCCATCACTCCTGCCCGATTTATGTTTGCTCGCTTCCCTGTCGCTCTCCATCTTTTGCGTATACTAAAAACAGGCAGATCAGATAAGCGACAAGCCCACTCACCAAAGTTCAGCATCCCTTCCACAATTGCCATGCTGCTGGCCCACACAGCTGCTGTGCTTGTCTGGTGTGAGGACATAACTTGGATGGACAAAACATTAGCAGGGTGCCGAACTAATTCGGTATGCGGTGCTCACATTCTATCACTAGCACAATGCTCATCATCCTCCTGAACAACCTTGCGTCTTCCTGCACTGCCTGTGTTGGAGCTGAATCCTGCTGTCTGGTCACCTTGGGCTCCTTGGTGGACACTCCAGTCAAATACGTAGTCGTACTTGTACCCCCTCCCGCAAGAAGAGGTCACAGAAGAGTTTGCGAAGGTAGGAGTAGTCAGGTTTGTCGTCGAAGCGAAGAGCACAAGAATATCCCAAGTTCATTCAGGAATCAATGGCAGAGAAGGTCAGCAAGGGTCATCTTCTCCATGATGTAATCATATTTCTGCAGCTTTGAGGCCCTGTAAAGGAAGAGCTCCATAGCGTAAGTACGTTAAAACATAAGCAAGAGATTCGAGGCCATCACGATGTGCTTGCTCAACACCCAAATGGGTATTGATCAGTGCACTGAGCAGTCCCTGTCAAGTCCTTGTATTCTCTGTGCGGAATGTGGAGGTGGGTCTTGGGTCACAGAACTTCTTGGCGAAACCAATGTCGAACACATTGAGTTGGGTACCGTGCTTTCCACATATCTGGCTTGATGTCACTATGTATGAGGTTGCAGGGGTGGATATACTCAAGAAATCTATCCCAGAGGGTCAGCAAATAGCAAAGACATATGGAAAAAGACACAGACTAGCTAGTTGGCAAGTAAAAGAACAGTGTTGAGGCCAAGCTTGCGGTCCTCGCTAAGGCTTTGCCATCGACCTGAGTCCACATGATATGATCTACAACAATGCAGAGTTCTCTCAAAATTCGAGGTCTTTACCTTCCCCGGGTTATTCCGTATGGAATCCATATGGAATCCATGGAATCCATGAAGAATTCCATATGGATTCCATAGAATCAATGTTGGCTGAGGACCCAGCCAGTTTCTTATTCCATATGGACTCCAACACCATTCCATATGGATTCCATTGGATTCCATATGGATTCCATGGAAGACCAATATACCATTAGAATACATATAAACACAGTATTTATAGTGTCCTTACTATATTGAAGTAAAAAAGAATTTTTGCACCTAATAGAATTGAACCCTCGACATCATCAATAATAGCAACGCTAAAGCCAACTGAGCCATGCAGGCTTCATTAGATGTTAAACTAAAGGTAGCTATATACCGCACCAAGGCACGTGGCATCATATGTGTGACATGCTGTGGCTGAAACGTCGCCACATCGTTCCTTCCTTCCCCACCACCACCATCTGACAACCATCCACTGTCCCTCACCACCGCGACAAACCACGACCGCCCACATCAACAACGACAACACGCCAACGACGCCAATGACACGACGATGGACAATGTCGTCATCGACCACCCACGACCATTGACGAGCACCCAGGACGTGAAGACAACATGGCAGATGTGCCACGTCATCCAGACAGTGACGACGCATGCCATCGTCACTGTCCAAGCTGATCAGGTCAGTGCACCCACCCCCTCTCGTCCCGTATGGCCGACTCACACCAGATCCAGGGGCCATGTTGCTGTCTGCGACATGGCAACAATTTGACGACGCGACATGACAACAACAGGGCACGACCACAACAGCACGACACCAATGGGGACAAGGACAGTGCCACGTCACAACGCAAGCACGACCGCCCACCAACGTCAACAACCGCCCACGAAGACGACTGCCCATGAAAGCGACCGCCCATGATGATGACCGCCCAGCGCCCCAAAAACGACAATGCGCCCATGAACGACAACGCCCACCGCCCAATTACAATGACGACAAATGGACGACAAGTGCCCATGGACCCCCGTTGACAAATGGAGACGACCGCTCACAAAAGTGAACGGACATGGGCAACGACGAGCCCAGGTGAGTCCCCCCTCTTCCACCCTACTTCCTCCCCCTCCATCCCCATCCCCCCATTGCTCCCCCTGCTCCCAGTCCTCCCCTCCCCTTGCTCTCCTTCCATTTGCTCCCCTCCCTTTGCTCCCCATCCCTCCAGTGTCCCCCTCACTTCAATACTTCCCACCACTCTCTCCCTCCTCACTCTCCACCACACCCACTCACTCCCCCCTCCCTCTCCCTTCAATATGTAATGTAGTAAAAAATATATATGTAGTCCTAGTCAATATATTTCAATTGTTCTTGAGCAGTTATCAGTATGAATAAGTGCAGCACTGTGATTCCTGACTTGGCAATATTTCAAACAGCCCACTTTCTACATAACTTGGAGCTTACCATGGATTCCACCCTGGAAATTGATGGAATCCATCTAAAAAAAGTATGGATTCCATCTTAAAAAAGTATGGATTCCATCTTAAAAAAGCATGGATTCCATCTGGAAAAAGCATGGATTCCATCAACAAAAGTATGGATTCCATCTGGAAAAGGGATGGATTCCATCAACCATTCCATGGAATCCATCTGGGGGAAGTATGGAATCCATCAGCCATTCCATGGACTCCATCAACCATTCCATGGATTCCATCTGGGGGAAGTATGGATTCCATCTAGTCCATATGGAATAACCTGGGGAGGGTAAAGTCAAGGGGGTGCCGGCCCGGGAATCCCGTACCGGGATCCGGTTAGTTAGTCCAGCCGCAGGCTGCGAAAAAAAAAAAGGACGCCTCAGGCAGAGGGCCTTAAATCACCAAATTGAGTACCTTGTAGCATAATGTAATGACTACAGAATGTACTGGGAGGACTACAGCTCCAATAGAGGCCAAAAAATGAGTGATATAAGGTATTCATTGATTTCCTACCATATTTGGGTCATCAAAAATTACATTGAAATTCTATGCGCCACACTCACATCCCCATTACCAGTGCTAGACTACTTCACAGTGAACCGACGACGTGAACAGTATACAAGAATCTACAGTATGTCTCACACATTCTACGTATAATGGCAAACATTGACAATACCATTGAGATGGAGCCACCTGCCCTTGATGCAGAGGGTTTCGCGATCTGCCCAGATTGTGGTAGTCGTGTAAATTGTGGGACGATCGGGCTGCCTAATCTCGAGAAGCGCCACCATGGAACGAAAATCTGTAAAACAGCACAACAAAAACGAGATAGGGATGTGAAAAAGAAGGACGGAACAATACTCAGCTTCTTGAGACCAAAGGCAGCCATCATACCATCAACTGTCGATGGTCCACCACCAGTCCACAGTTACAAGCTCGTTCCACGGACAGTGAGCAATGCAAGCCCTGCCGCTGCTTCCACCACTCCTGAGCAGGAAAAATTCGTCTCCAACTCAATGTCGAAGTCCGTTTCGAGACCTATTTCCAACAGCTTCATCAAGGTGTTACGAGATCTGGTCAAAAACTTACCAGCGAGCGTCCCCAAAGCATCCGAGTTTGAGAAGCTGGCAGTGTTTGGAGGAAACCCGAAGGAATTTGATGACCCATCCTTGCAGGCTGATGAATTGTGGGAGACAAGCCTGAACGGCGTCTTGAAGTCAACGTTGGGCTGGGGAATGGAAGGAAACATGGATGAGATAATCCGTCGTGGGAGGTGGGGCCTGGACGGCTTGGTTGATTTTGCAACATACTTCGTGGAGGAACGCAGTGTGAGCGGAGGGCTGTTTGAAGGAAAACTAACAAATCTCGTTGCGGCTTTGAAGGAAAGGTCAGATCCAGTGGAATATCATTGAACAAACTACTCACAAACATATGCAGAGTGCCCGCAAGCCATATCCATAATCCGCCCCCCACCGTTGCACAAAGTCCTAGTCCCCCGTTGGCCGTCATCGAACAAGGGGGTGCCACATTGATTCCCTTCGATTCTGACAATGTTCCTACTAGTCTTGATTCTCCGAAGCTCGTAGGATACCCCAATGGACCAGATGAAGCTGCGAGAATCGATGTCGATGCTTTTTGCTTCGAGTACGAGGACATTCTGAAACAATCAAAAATGTCAGCGGAACGATGCAAGGGGTACACCATGATTTTTCCAGACGGAAAATCACCATATACTGCATATCCCTTCGCTCTACATGATACCATCGTCCTTCCGTGGGACCCTGTCCCCAAAGATGGCGTGATGAAACTCTTCACGCACAGCTGCCGTGGGTCATCTGATGGATCAGGTGCAGCCTGTCAGCCATGTCGAGAGCTTGGCAACAATGAAACATTAGAAAATATACTCAGACGGATGAAGGATGGCACTCACGAAAATGCCGGGTTTGCATACCATGGGTTTAGCGGCCTCCAGGAGATGCTTCACCACAAAAACCAGCTAGTCAAGTTTTATCGACTCTGTGGTTTGAACCAAGCCAAGAAGCTCCTTTCAAAAGCGACTGCACTCTCTGACCAAAAGCGCCTCTTGATGGCGATCGCGAGTGGGAAGGCAAGTCGTGTTGATCGTCTGATCAGCCTTGGCCTTCGTCAAAAAAAGGGGGCCCGTGGGTTGTTGGTTTCGTATTTGGCAGCAGCGGATGGATATTACAACCCAAAGAGTTTCATGGAGGAGGAAGATATGAAGGCTTTGCTGCTCTGGAAGCTTGGTGGGAATCGGGTGGCAGAGATTAATCATCGAGCAAACAACGCACCAAGTGTCTCATACCTCAGGACTCGCTCAACCGTCCCACCAATCATCCCTTCTCATGAAAAGCCCACAGTTGAACAGGTCGCAAAAAACGTTGAGGCGATGTTGGAGGGGGTACTCGATGTGATCCATGGTGAAAATTGCCCCAAATTCATCCACGCGGTCTTGGAATTCGATGAGATTGCCACTGAGAAGAGAATCCACTGGGATCCCAAGACAAACTACTTCCTGGGATTATGCAGGGAGCATGCACATAACACCGCAATGGAGTTTGTCAATGAAGGAGACATGGAGGAGTTGTTTCAGGCCCTAGATGACGGACAGGTTCATCATGCAGGCGAGGTGAGAATTGTTTCCACGGAAGCAAATTTACTTCCGTTTTTAGACCTGATCTATTTTTAGGCGACCATTGGCGCATTGGGAATTTTGTGCAAAGATCATCGAATATACCCTGCACGTCCTGTCCTTATATCAGGAGACTGCAAACGGGAATCAGGAGAAGAGCATGCAGAAATTATCCAGACTGTTCTCAAGGGCATCAACGTGCTGCAAGACAAAACAAAACTCCGTTTAGTGTCCATTGCCTCCGACGGTGAAACACGACAAGGATCGGCTTTCATTCTTCTCACTTTCAAATCCCCACTGCTACCGACTTCCCCAATTTACTCAATCCTCAAGCCTCTTAAACTTTTAAATCTCCATGTCGGCGACGACGACCTCACGTGTGATAAAGACTGGAAACATGTCTTCAAGAGGTGGCGGAATCTTCTCCTCCAACAACGTGGGGTGGTAGTCAATGGTGTTCGAATTACACCTGACATTATCAAGGACCAGTTTAGGTCAGCTGGACTCTCCGCTGAACATATTCGGCCGTTATTCAATCCAGATGATCAACAAGACATCAAACTGGCCTTTGATATGCTCAAGGATATTTGGACACTTCCTCGTTCTTGTACAAACACGCGCCGAGGCTTTCTGGAAGTGCGAGAGGGCCTATGGATTTTAGGGAAGCTCTTACACCATACAATCTTTCCATATCTTTGTGTCGACCTCTCTCTCTCTGAGCAAATCGAGCATCTCAGCGCTGCAGCCCATCTCGCTATAATTCTATTTAGGTTGGCTGGAAAGAACTTTATTCCAACCAACCTCTACATCGACCTAATGATCATGATCAAGAACGTCCTTTTCTGTGTCGCCAAAGCAAAAATTGACGATCCTGATGGAGAATTCTGGCTCATTCTCTTAGGAACTGACCGGCTTGAAGAGCTTTTTGGGATTCTCAGGACGATGGTTGGCAATGATGCCAATCTGGATACTTTGCAGCTTGTCTCTCGCCTCTCTGGTACCACAGAAGTTGCGAATATCCTTGCCAAGTATCCCCAGTGGGACCGCTCGCCTCGGTGACTCACACTACCCACCATGTCGCGTGAATCAAAAGAGATCCCCGACAGCGCAGACCACATCAAACCTGGATCTTGGCGGGGAAATGTCAAGCTCCACAACGTGTCCTTACAAACCTCTTGGAATTGTGGTCGACGCATCGTTGAGCAAGAATTTGAAGGCCTGGAACACAACTTACATGAACTTGATAACTCAGACGGTGTCGATATTCTATCTCCATTCGGCACCCTTCTCTTCGACATTCCTCTTGCGGATGATGATATTGACGAGAGTCTTGAAGCTCCAAGTTCCAATGTTACTTCTGGCGATCAAATTAATGACGAAATTACTGGTGCAAGCACGCATGACGTAGATATGTGTGTCGATGTTGAAGATGAACTTGGCACTGAACTTGCCTGCTTAACGAACACTGAAACAAATCCCAGTCAAAGGGTATTTAATTCAAAAGTACTTGTCAAAGGTATTGAAAAGTCGAAGGCCCGCGCGCTAAAGGAATTTAGCAAGTACCGGCAACATGCCAGCTCGATGGATCGTTTGAAACATGTTCAAGCTATTCCAAGGTTCGTCGATATCGAAAAAACAGTTGAATCCCATGCAAATCACTCACCTGTCGACGATACGGAGAAAATTGTGATCTCGGACCCAATTTCTACCCTCATTCGCGTCGAGAACCAGTTCTGGCTTTGTCTTGGAGAGGTCAATGGACTCCAAGTTGATGGTTGCCGAGTTGAGGAAGTGAGCTTCGAAATGCTCCCAGAGGACACAGTTACTGTTTTGTATCAAATCCTGGGGTTGCATCCTGCAACATTGGCTGATGATCCTGATGGACGACATGACTGGAGAACATACATGATACGTGAACGGACATTTACCGTACCTGGACGCCTTATCCAGTCTGTCAACCCAACCACCTCAAAAACCCACCTTACCATTCCTTTCTATCTGTTACAGAGCACGGTTTTAGTGGCGTTGACAGCCAGTCTCTTCCAGAGTCTTACCATCTCAAGTCTCAAAGCTGTACCGAAGCTTGCACCAATGACAGAGATGGGTGGTATACACTTTTATGATAAAAACCAGACATATGCCTGGAGGGCGATGTGTATAATGCCTAGAGGTTCAATGAGATCGCATATCTCATTGTTCTAGGATATTTCATTGCGATTTTCATATGGATACCTGGTGCTTTCAATATACATTTCATTCTCAACCCCAGGATATTTCATTGCAATTTTCATATGGACACCTGGCGCTTTCAATATATATTTCATTCTCATCCCCAGGATATTTCATTGCAATTTTCATATGGATACCTGGCGCTTTCAATGAATATTTCATTATTAGCTCCAGGACATTTCATTGGAGTTTTCATATATATATCTGGCGGTTTCATTGGATATTTCATTGTTAGCCCCAGGATATTTCATTGTGCTTTTCATCTGAATGCCTGGCGGTTTCAATGGATATTTCATTCTTGTTCCTAGGATATTTCATTGGACTTTTCATAGATATACCTGGTGCTTTCATTGGATATTTCATTGCTAGCCCCAGGATATCTCATTGCACTTCTCATTTGGATGCCTGGCGCTTTCAATGGATATTTCATTCTTATTCCTAGGAGATTTCATTGCACTTTTCATATGTGTACCTGGCGCTTTCATTGAATATTTCATTTTT